CTTTAAACTTAAAACATCAAAATTTTCGTCTTTTACAAGTATACATAATAAGTGCAATAAGCACGTTGACCACAAACACCAAATATGACGCAAAAGGTAAAAAGAAAACATAAATTACCCATAATTCAAAATTTTTATTAAAATTATGTGCAATTATTATTTGTTAATGTATAAAAAAAAATCACTAATTATTCATTATTTAAAAACTTTACGCATAAATGTAAATATAAAAGTATCTGAAAGTGATCTAAGGGTTGAGTTTTTAATCTTCCAGTATGGCATTATTGTATAATTCTAAGTTTCTTAAATGTCGAAAAAAAAAAAAAAAAAATTCTGGTTCCAGATGGTTACAAAATATAAAATAATAAAGGAAAATTTTGAAAACTTTTTAAAAGTTTTCTCAGAAACTTTTTTCCTAAAGTAGCAAATTAGGTTAAATATGAAAATTAGTTTTTAAATTATATTAAATTATAATAAGATTTTAATATAATTATCGGCATTTTAAATTTAATACAATTATTTAAATACCATAAGATTATAATTTTTAACATAATAAACATTAAACAAATTAATCCTCAAAGAAAATTTACTACAACAGCAAAATGTTAACAATAAAATTAAAGAAATTAAAAAAAAAACCCAAAGATAATGGTCATTTTTAGAATAAACATTTTATGTAAGTTTACCGCTACACTTTTAAAATAAATCTACCTGTAAATTTTAGATCTGAATAAGGAGCTTTTTTTACTCTTTAAGGAAAACCCTAGGAAGATCTAATGATCTTGATACAGGTCCGCACTATACCGGGATTAGTTTTTAATGATTTGTCTAATAGTTTAAAATCCGTTTAAATTAATTAAACTGAGCACAAAGTATTGTTCGGTTTAACAGATTAAAAGAGTTGGAAACAGGGTTTGGAACAAACCTTTTTAAAGTAAAAGAAACTTTTTTGTAAAAAATATTAGTGAAACACGCTAATATTTTTTACAAAGAAATTTCTAAAGAAAAAACGAGTATAATAAAAATCTAATTGCAATGGAATTAGATTTTTAATATACTTGTTTTCTGTGTTGCCAAAACGACCAAAAGGTGTACTAAATGTACACTTTAACTGACTTTCCAAATCCTTGAGTAATTTCCAACATCCTAAGTTAGCGTCTAATTTAGACATATATTTATATACATTTCCTAGTTGGGCCAAATCTACACTTTTAAATTCATAGAATTCGAGTTTTTTATCATTATTTAGGTGTGTTAAAATACAATACAAATAAGAAACTATCCACTAGGTTTTTTTACGAAAACAATCGGATGACACAGATGACAGATGACATACAGTAGGTTGATCTACGATTTTAATAACAACCATCTAGTGTCGGATTTACTTTAGGGTTTTTTAGGCAAAAATACGGGGCTTTGCATTAAATACCAAAGATGCCTGTAACACAACTGAAGTGCGGTATCCGCTGCTGTACTGACAAATTCGCAATACCACTGCATGCCAGTGATGTACTGGCAATCAACATTTGGTGTTATGATGGAAATTTGACTTTGCCAAAAAGCTTTTGCTTGGAACAGTGCAATGAAATCCGCCATTCTCTTAAGCTTATAGCGTTGGTCCTGGTTAAGCCATTTAATTTGTTTGTCCAACATTACATACTTAAAGATGTATAGTTCATTGTCCATGAATCTAGCACGATGATAAGCACCAGGTTTCTTGAACCAAAAAGTCTTTTCATCTTGTGATTCTCCGCCAAGATAAACAATTGCCAGTTTAATAAGTTCTCAATAATCTTCTCTTGGAAATGTATTTTTTTTTTGTAGACAATTGCTGGCTTATTTTAAGACTACTTTTACTAGATAACTGATTGGGTTATCTCCGTCAGCAGGAAATTCAAACTAAATAATTTTTTTTTTTTTTGGTGGGAAATTGAGTCCCAGTTATCCTGAAGTATTTTAAGTAGAGGCTCGATTGGCCAACTATGGTTTCCAATAACTGCTTCCCAAACTTGTTTAATGTGTAACTCATGTGCTAAAATTGCCGCTAAAATTGGGCCAAACATCCCATAACATTGCACGGCCGATAACCTTCTTAATTAAAGCCGCACATCCTGCTTTACAGCTGGTGTAACTAGTTGTAGTGTCAAAGCAATAAACAATCAAATCATCAAGTAGCTTCCATGATTTAAAATGGTTGATAAATTGATCTTTTGGTCCTACACCATTTGGGATTGTAGGAATCTCTCCATTTGGGATTGTAGGAATCCCGCGAACTTTGGGATTTGAATCTTTAGCCAAACCATCCCATCCACTTGCAAGGATGGCAATATGTTCTCCTGTAAGAAAAAAATAAAAATACAAGTTATTTTAAGATTATTATTCAACGTAATAAAGCAATGTCTGAATAGTTTTACCGTTAAGCGACAAAACAAGTTTGCTACCCTAGTGACCACAAGTGGACGGTTGTATTTATAATTATATTATAATTTATAAAATTGACTTCTCGTTCTTTTACACTTCAAATAAAGTAGAATAGCTAAATAAGTAATTTTTTTTACTTGTGGAAATTTCCGCTGATTTTGTAATAACAGCCACTCCTCTTTCCAAGTTTACCAGTCTTCTCTAAGTATCTTTTTCCTATATTCTTTATAATTTTCCATTCAATAAACACTTTTAAGAAGTAGTCGAGAAATTTGTTATCTGGCTTGATTAGAATTCTTGTTCTCCTCCAAATCTATTTAAGCTCATTTAAAATGGTGTTAAAAACATCACCGGTTGAAGACGATCCTTTTCACTAATATTGTCAACTTCTCGGAGGTGTAAATATCTTCATAAAAGACCAACCTTTAGTGGAAGTTTTGAACCAACAGCTAAACTTTTTTTGAGACCAAATCCAATAAATTCGTCTTGATGATCTTTTTTGTGTATAACGTTTTCCCCACTCTAGACTTTTTGATTTTTTAACTAGTACACTTAAAAACTTGAAAATACTACTGTTAGCCGTTTTGAATTGCACGCTAGCGTGCAATTCAATTTTTCAACACATTTCAACATATTTTTCA